CTTAGTTTGAACTCAAAAAATTTCACACGTTCCAACAGCTTCTGGCTTCTGATTCTGGAAGGCGGCATTTTTGAGGAACGTAGGCCGAAGCCATTTGTACTTCCCGCCAAATAGTTTGCTTTATAATGAACTACAAATACAAAGACAACTATCTTTATCTCATTCGAGACATTCTAACTGATTACTTATAAACCATGGTCATAATGGGTAGATCAAAACAGTTAACCATTCTCACGTATTATTTCGGATTTAGTAACTGCCAGCACCTGTAGTATGAGAATTAGTTGGTTAAACTGGCGATAAGACATGGGAATATGAACTCCTCCGCGACACAGGTGATCTTGCGCAAAATTACAGGAAGGATACCTATTCCAGTTCTCTAGCGCCAACAGTAACACTAACACTTATCCTTACCCCAACCCTAACTCCAATCGCCCTGAAAATTGCCGCAAAACCCCTGTGTTACGAGGTTTCCTGTTCCTTTGTTCTATCGGACTGGCTTGTAGGTACTTTACCCCGGAAATGCTCTACCAAACCACCTATAGTACGCCTGATTTCAGGCCAATTCGCTTCCTCATTCTTACATTATTTAAAATGCTTACGCATTAAATATCGCCCTCTGATATCTTGGTGATACCTACGGTCTAGTCGTTCTTGGTCTCTTCATCCTGAAGTGTCTGTAAGTAGGGTGAAAAAATGGTGTTTTACATCCAACGTTCAATCCCGCTTTCTACTACTCAATCGTGTATTAAGAGCTTTTGGATTAGTTCATTCATTCTTTGGCCCTTCGCGGCTCTCCTATAGTGTTCTGGACATACAGTTTATGGTGGGGGAGGAAACAAATAACCAGCTAGCCTACATCGACGTACTCGTCTGCTGCAAGGATTGTGGTGGTGTTCAGGAAGAGTGACTAATGAAACACAAGTACTGAGTTTCAACAGCGAGCCCCCAATCAGTCACAAACTCAGTTGCTTAAGGGCGATATACCGGCGCGTCGCGATGCATTTCAATGAACTGGAAGACAAGGTTGCTAAACTACAGTATATTCGACCGATGCTTAGGGCGAATGGGTAACCGCGCAAAGTCGCTAGTCGCTGCATGCGTAAACGCGACGTGGGACAAACTTAAACCGGCGCTAAATTTTGACGTACGTGAAAAGCGTCTCGGAAGCCGTCAACCATCTCCTCACACCACTCGGATTTGGAGTTGCACACAGACCAGAGGCAGGTCTTGATGCCGAAAGACTCACATTCACGCCAGGAAACTTCTGGGGTCATTTGCCGGATCTGGTGCAGTTGCGAACAAAGCAGTTAGGTAGGAGAAAACGGGAAACTACTACGGACGCTAATGGTCAAGCACGCAGCATCAGTGAGGGACAATGACGCTAACTTCCAGGCGCGGATCATTTGACGGGACTCGGCCACGTCTTCAAGTCTGATGAGGCCAAAATCCTCTCAAGAAGTGGTAACCGCGTGAACCGTGAGCTGTTTGAGCCACTGCTCTCTGGCCCCGCATTCAACTAAAAAACGCAATAACCTTCTGCTTCCTTACTTTGTGGTGCTGCAAAATTGCTAACAATGCGAGAAAGTGCGGATGACCAGCAGTCACGGTAAAAGTGAGCCGAATGACCTAACAGTCGTCACGCCGAGAACCGACAATGGTGATGAAATCCCGGCAATTAACAACTTGGGCACGGACCGATAAGCAATCATCGCATCAACTATGACCCCCCAGCGACGAACATGAGTTCTGTCAAATTAAGTAGGTTTATGGTGACCTGGAAACCGCGGCCTATAAATACTGTGCACCTTGTGTCCCCTACTACCTGATGATGGGGTCGAGTGAGAATCCGACATGACAGGCCAATAAATGTCTTGTCCTGGTGATCGCACTTTGTACTTCTGAAGGCAATATCTGTAAACATAAACGCCGAGAAGACTGACCTCACTCCCTCTTCCCTCGACCATACATCTGTGAACTGTTCAAGTACTCCTGGCGACTAGTAATGAGGCTGGATCCAACCCCTGCCGTGGCGTACATACTTACATCTACGTGGACCATGAACACGTGCGGCAGTGGTTAGGACCTCACTTCGGCCTACCTAACCCACGCTTGTTCAACGAATGCCAGGAGTCAAAATTTGGCTAGATCGCAGTTGGTAGCCCGGAATGGGAAGTGGACGGCGACCTTAACCCTAATCCCGACCTTAACCCTAACCCTAACCCCAACCGTTACCGTTAACCGTTAACCCTAATGGCATCACTAACTCTAACCCTAGCCGAAATCGTAAACGTGACCGTAACCCTTAGACATAGCCGTAACTGAGAAGCTTAACCGTAATACTGGAACCTATTCGCACGCTCAAACCCTAACCATAACCCGAAAACCGAAGCCTAAAGGCATAACCCTAACCGAAAAATCGGAAACCATTAACCGGTACCCTAATTCTAACCTCAAACGTAAAACGGAAGTCAAATTTGTCCGATGTGACTATGGAGGCCCACAAAATAACCTCAGTAAACAAACCCCCCAGTCACCTGTAATGCGGGTCCGGGCTACCAACTGCGATCTAGCCGTCAATTTTTATGCTTTTTGGCTCAGCACAGCAGGTAACATTGCGGGGAGCGTGGGGGGATATCACTAATCCAGCCCAACTGATGAATTCTGAAAATAAAAATTCATCACAGCTTTAGATGACGCTTGCACTTTAAAACTTGTTATTTTACTTTACTCTTAATCTTGCCCAGTTAGTTACTTATCTCAACAGAATTACTTGCTTCCATGAGAATATGACAACACCGGTATATCTCAAAAGCTAATTTTCAATAATAGATGCAATGTATACTATTCATGGGCCCGTTTGCAGTAATTCTGGATAATGGCCAATCAAACCGATCAGTTTCACTTAGATGGCATTATCACCTGTGCATATTTCAACTCTCAAGGAAGTAGGATACACCGATCTCTCCTGACTGGGAAATTAAATGAGAATCTCCGACTTGCTCATTTATTTGCTAAACTTGGGTAATAAAACGGAAGTCTAAAAAAGGGCTACTCAGCAATTGTTGCGTCAGTAATTTGTTTGCTGCTGAATAGACTTTTCAGACTCCCACAAACGCCTTCTTCATTTCCCAGCAGTTTAGTTGCAAATAAATTGATGTGCCATTAAATAAAAGCCTGCCTCTGGTGCAAATATGCGTACAATACAGAGCGTTTTGGTACAGCTGGTTTTTCTATCGAGCAGATCCAACCAACCATTTTTGTCGGTGATAAAAGAAAAACACCAGGTAGGACCCGGTAGAATTTAATTTATTAGTTGAGAAAGGACCTCATCGTCGAGATAGACGAAGCTGACAATGAGACCGGACGAGGAACAAGTCGTCAAGACTAATCAATAATGATGCGTTGATAACACAATTTGCTGGTCTCCACATAAGAAAATCGATCGGACAGGGTTCGAACCCAGAAATACTGGGGAAATAGACTAAGCTCTCTTCAATACGCCAAAGAAAATATTCTTAATCGTCCGGATCGGGACCGTACTTTGATTAAGTATAATCGTATACTATGGTTCCAAGACTCTGGTGTATTTACTAAGATAACCAGGTAACTGACTCAGAGTGGCTCCCACGTATCTCTTTGTTCCAATCAGCAAGAATAAACGGCTTACAATCACAAGATCAACAAATTACGTATCGTAAGATCATTTTGTGCTTCCTGGATTTCCAAAGTGCGCAGATATTTGTTTGCCTAGAAGAAAATAAGCAGTTTAGAAGAAAACGGGAGTTATTGAGCTCAAATCAATCCCGCCTGGTGATCGCACAACGGCAGTTCTTGTATTCACAGCTGCGAAATCCAATTCAGGAACCTGCGGTTAATGTTAGCCCCATAAATTAGGGTCGCTATTAACTAATCACGCACTGGAATCGGCTTTGTAAGAAATGTATTCATGGCGGTTGCTACATTTTATCCATAATCCCTTGCGACATGCT